GGTGCTCTGCGACTGCAGCAGTCTTAACCTCAGAGGGCCGGCGACAACCTTGTCCGATCACATGGCCCAAATAGCTGACCTCAGCTCTCCCAAGCTGGCATTTTTCGGGCTTGACGCTAAGTCCCGCCTGGCGAAGCCGTTCTAGAACCGCGCGAAGGTTTTCCACGTGGGTTTCCCAGGAATCCGAAAAAAAAGCCACATCACCCAGATAGGGGAGGGCGAAGTCGCGAAAGTCTCCAAGGACACGATCTATACACCAACTCAACTCTCCTACGTCACGCCGCGGTGGTGGCGCGCCGGACGCACTTCCGGTCTGGGGCGGTGGGCAGAAGTCGCCGTGCCAGACATGCATTCCCGTGTTCCTTTGGAAGAAACGAGACAAAAACCCTGCCTTCTCGTCAAAATGCTGCGATGGGGGCTTTACCAATAGAGTCCGTAAAGGTTTGAAGATCAGTTTTCATGTGTTTTTGCACCCTCCGTTCGTCCGAGAACGTGGATAGTAGCCGTGAAAAGGGCAAACCAGACGCTGTCGAACTACGATTGCGTGTGCGGGCCACAATTTGTGGTCGCCAGATGTATTTGCTTTGTTCCAACATGAACGAGAGAAAACCCCCGAGTTGTCCGGACCACCCACGGGTTCAGTGCGTCTTCAAATTCACACGGCCGCCTGATCGTTCGAACTTTCGTCTGCTCTTTCTAAGTTGTCTGCTTTTTGTCGTCTGCTCGTTCAAAGAAAAGCGGCCCGTAGACCAAACTTTGACCCGGTGATTGCAATAAGAAGTAATTGCAGGCCTCAAAAGGCTTAAGTAGGCTCGGTGTAAACAGTAGATACAAGATGTTAATTATTGGTACCGGTGGCCATCACCTACTTGTTACGCTTGGTCTGTTCCCGCTTTCGAGTTTCAGTATCGACGTCGATCATCGCCGCTACCTTTTACACTTTTGCAGCACGAGCGACGTCGCGACCGAAAATAGCTACAAGAATCTCATCATGGTTTTGGCGTCCATTCTGCGGCGTTCATGCGAATGAATCGCCGCACGTCAAATTATTTACGGAAAGTTTAGCGGCGTAACGAACCTTGATAATTTCGCTCAGGCGATTAAAGTGGTAAGACACTGCGATGAGGACGTAGAATCGACAACTCGAACGCAAAAAGAGTATGCAGACTCACACAGGACGCCGACAACGTGACATTCGAATGGTTTGTTGCCGCGGGACGCGGTGCTTCTTGCCCGTACTCCATTGCGCGTGGGTTCGAATTGTCGTCTGCTCTTTCAAACTTGGCTGCTTTTTGTCGTCAGCTCGTTCAAACGACAGCGGCCCGTAAACCAAACGTTGACCCGGTAATTGCGATAAGAACTAAGTGCAGGCCTCAAAACACTTTTGAAGGTTGGTTGGGGTAAGTCGGCTAAGGTGTAAACAGATACAAGAAGTTGTTGATCATTGTTACCAGTGGCCATCACCGACTTGTAATGCCCGATTCTACTTGCGGTTTTCAGTATCGATGTCCACCATCTCGGCTACGGTCCACGCTTTTGCAGTCCGAGCGACGTCGCGACTGAAAATAGCGAGCAGAATCTCATCGTGGGAGTCAGGCTTTAGCGCCCATTCTGCGGCGTCCACGTGAAATGAATCGCCGCACGTCACATTATTCACGCAAAGTTTTGCCTCGATAGTTTTGCTGAAGCCGCTCAAGTAGTCAGACATTGTTAGGAGGACGTAGAATCAACAATTCCAACGCGAAAAAGAACACTTGGACTCCCACCGACGCCGACAACAACGCAATTCAATGGTTTGTTTATGGGCGACGGCGGGCTTCTTGCCCACCATCCACCGCGCATGCGCGGCGCCGGTGGCTTCCGCTAGGGGCGCTCCGGTTTGTTTGTAAACATGAGTTGGTGTATAAGGCTAGAAAAACAAAACGGCGCGTTTTTCAGGCCGAAACTCAACATGATCGGCCGAAAGGTGCCAATGGGAGAGATAAACGCGGCGTACCGGCTAGCCCGTTCGGTAAGAGGACCTGCCAGTAGCCGCGCACTAGGTCTAACGTCGGTATAAACCTAGCCCCGCTAACTACCTCTACCCTCTCCTCAATGTTCGGGATCGGGTAGGTTTGATCCCGGGTGATAGCATTTAGCTTTCTGTAATCGATACAGGGCCTAGGATCTTTCCCTGGTGCTTCAACAAGGATCAGGGGCGATGTGAAGTCACTGTCCCCGGGTTCAATAACCCCGAGCTCCAACATGCGCTTCATCTCTCTTTCCATTATCTCCCTTTGTCTTGGAGATACTCTGTACGGCCTAGAACGAACCGGTTGATTGACAGTTAGCTCGATGTCGTGGACCACCAAGGTCGTTTTTCCTGGCCTATCTGAAAAGGTCGTTCGAAACTCCTCGATCAACTGTGTTAGATCTGCATTCTGAGCGGGCTGGAGTTTCTCATGAATTATCATTTTTGCGCAAAGCTCTTCGACAGTGAAGCGTCCGTCACCTTTGAGGAAGGGGATCTCATGCGGCATCGCCTCTGGCGCGTTCAGAGTTAAGTTTACAATAACCTCGCGTTCTTTGTAAGGCTTCATGAGGTTGCTGTGATAAATTCGCGTGTTTCGCCGCCTCGCTTCTAGCTCAACTGCGTCGTTTGTGTCAGACAGCTTCTGCAGAACCCTGGCTGGGCCTTCCCATTGAACGTCAAGTTTGTTCTTTCTACAGGGAACAAGAAGCATGACCTTGTCGCCCACCTCAAAAGTACGCAGCCGGGCTGATCGGTCATAATAGGCTTTTGCCCTGTTCTGTGCGGTCTTCGCGTTCCTTTCCACGATCCCCATTGCCTTATTTAGCCGATTGAATAACTCCAGAACGTACTCGACGAACCTTGGGTTTTCCTTTTGATCCTCCCAGGATTCTCCAAGCATACGCAGCGGTGTTCTCAAAGCCCTCCCGTACACTAGCTCCGCGGGACCAAACCCCGTCGTCTCGTGAGGTGCAGTTCGAAGAGCGAACATCGCCGCTGGGAGGCAGGCTTCCCAATCCCTTCTGCGCTCCACACCAAGAGCGCGCAGAACGCGCTTCAGCACCGAGTGAAGCCTTTACACGCTGTTCGATTGTGGGTGGTAGATGGAGCTGTGAACTAGCCTTATACCACACTTCTCGAAAAAGGTGGTCGTTAGTAAGCTAGTGAAGACGCTTCCCTGGTCGCTCTGAATTTCTGCTGGAAACCCCACCCTAGAAAAGATGGACAAAAGAGCGTCCACCACGTTAGCCGAGGACAGTTCCTTCAGTGGAACTGCCTCTGGAAACTTTGTGGCCGCACACAAAGCTGTCAAAATATACCGGTACCCCGACCGCATCTGAGGAAGTGGTCCGACGGTGTCGATCACGAGACGGCGAAATGGCTCAGTAATTACTGGAACCAATGTCATAGGGGCTTTCTGCCTATCCGTAGATTTCCCGACACGCTGGCATACGTCGCAGGTCTTCACAAATCCCTCGACGTCCTTCCAGCACCCCGGCCAGTAGTACTCCTGCGTCAGTCGCGCCTTGGTTTTTTTTATCCCAAGGTGTCCTGACCAGGAGCAATCGTGGGCGAGATGGAGCAAGTCCGCTCGGTACTTACGGGGAACGACAAGCTGGTCGAGCGACTTTCCCTTTCGGTCTGATCTCGTTTGATCACGCCTGATCTCGTTTGAAACGAGATGTTCTTCTTGGCTATGCCTTCCCTCTTACTTCCCTGGATATCTTTCACGGATAGATCAGTTTTTTGCTCCAAAATAAGCGTCGTCCTATCCAGTTTAGCTAACGCCTGAAAGCTTTTGGAGGCCGGTGAGAGAAGTATGCCGTCTTCTTTCTCATGATCGGCAGTCTGCTCTTCCCGTTCCGTCCCTGGCTCGGTGTTCTGGCGCTGTGATTCGGCAAATTCCCGCGACACTCCAGGCTTGTCTCCCGACTCAGCGGAAGGGGAAGCCTCTCCGACGGTGTTATAGCTCAGCTGCCTCGCTAGAGCACGTGCCTTCGAGCGCTTCAGGGCCAACACTGTTTCGTTCGCGAAGCTCAACCCCCTCTGTTGCAACATCTCTTCAGACTTATTTGAAAGGAGGTACGGATACGGCAAGGGAAGTCTGCTGGAGACTGCCACTTCGGTCTCTAGGACTCCAAAAGGTCCCGAGATAGAAACTTTAGCAATAGGCAAGCATACACTTTGCTCTTCTACCACCTGTCGAATCCAAGCGCACTCTCCAGTGTACTCCTCTGGTCGCACGTACGTAGGGTGTACGACGTCCATCGTCGCGGCTGAGTCTCACAACACATGGCAGTCTTTGCCATTTACTAGCATTTGTCGCGTGTAGGGCTCTATAGTCGGTTGCAAGTCAAGAAGGTAGGAGAAGCTCCTCCCACAAGCGTGATGCGCCCGTTTCAAATCCCTCCGCTCTCGAAAGAAGAGTTCACTGGAAACACTCCTTGTTCCGCTTCAAGGGATATATATTGGCAACAGAGTGATGCCAGCTTGTCTCCGATCTCACTTTTTAAAAAAGATACCTTTGTATTCATCGGAGGGGGAACCGAGCCCCTGAAAGCAGCCTTTGTATCTATCGGAGGGGGAACCTAATCCCCGAAAGTCGTATTTGTTTCCATCGGAGGGGGAAAACTCTAATCTCCCTCTCGTGGCTTCCACAATGCTAAGTCAAAGTCGAAAGATAAAGCAAATATGTACAGGAAGGCAAGACCCAAATCGCGCGTTGGCCGCAACGTCACGGAAATGATGGGACACTATTGGATGCGGAGGTGGCGGAGGGATATATGATTCCCTTTGAGGGGCATTTGCCGCTACCTTCTTGACCTGTAACTTACTATAACAACCTCTCGTTGTCTTCGCTGTCACGGACATAGTGGAAAGCCACTTTCTTTGTGCAGCTGGCCGCAAAGTGGCCCGGCTCTTTGCAATTGAAACAAATAGATGGTCTCCTTTTTTTGAAGACCTTGCTGCCTTCGCTGTTTGGTTTCGGCTAGTAGCCAACTTTCCTGTTCGCTGCCTCGACTTCCTTTTCTTTAGGTTTCTGGAAAGACACCTCGCTAGCGAACCGTCTTGGGAACGGCTTTCCCACCTCGTTCTTTTTCGTCCAGAAAGCTTTCTTACCCTCTTTGTCCCTCTGCGCCTTGCCTGAGCTATCACCTTGCAGGCCTCTTCTCATCGCGTGTTCCTCCGCGAGCTCGGCGGCCTTCACGAGATTAGGCTCGTTGAGCCTGTCCTGAACCCAGAACATCACGGCTTCAGGGAGCTCCCGGAAGAACTGCTCCGTTGCAACACACTCGACCGCCTTATCGTGGTCTCCGTGTGCTGAAATAATACTTAAAAAACAAGCGAGCTAATAAAACCCGAGACTCAGGAACACAGAAGGGGACGTTGCGTTGAGACGTTGTGTTGTGTTCGTCCCCTTCTGTGTTCCTGAGTCTCGGGTTTTGTTACAATGAATCTCCGTGTGCCCCGGCACTCTTTAGCCACTCTATCAAATCTGCCTTTAAGTTATACGCGAACTCTGGCCACGATTGAGATGGCTTCCCAGATGCTTGACGGAAGCGTTGGCTAAATGCTTCCGTGGACAAGCGATACTTCTTGAGAAATGCGGCCTTTACTTGGTCGTAATTGTCGGCGTCCTCTCTTGTTAAGCGCGCTATTACGTCAGCCGCTTCGCAAGCGAGTGGCGTCAGTAGCTTATGGGGCCATGTCTCGCGGAGGAAGTGCACTTTCTCGCACGTTCTTTCGAAATTTACGAGAAACAACCCGATGTCCTCGCCCAACTTATATGGCTGAAGAAGATCTTTCATCTTAAACCTTTTTGCCGGTTCAAGGCTAGCTGCTGCCTGATTCGGTGACTTGACCTATTTGAATTATTTTGGACAATGCAAGCACTACATAGCCATTGGAGACAAGTAGACAGATACTATTCGCCACAGTGTATATGTATTTGAGTGTTAAAGGGACCATGAAATGACTTTTTTATTTTTTCCAGATAACTTTTACATTAAACCGTCAATGTTCACTGAATGCCGAACAGGCATCCGTTTTCGTCTCGGTTTATTAACTTCTACACAACAAATTAATGAAATATCGACTTTTTCTTGACCGCAAAACAAGCCGTGACGTAGGCCGTTTCCGGAACCGGAAGTTCTCTCGGCAGTAGGAGAATGGGAGTGTTAACGGCAACGAGTTGGGGTGCGCCGGTAGGTTTTACTGCGCCGATGTCACCGACGTATTTTCTGAATCGCCGCCTCTCATCGCCGCGTCGCAGCTGAGCGAAATTCAATAAGATACGTTGCGCTACAGCGACAGCATGGGACTATGCCTGTTGGGAAGTGCAGCGAGTCTTCCGGTGAAGACTCCAGAAGTCAACCCAACTGTCATTGTTGGTAAAAGGCGGCCAGTGTCAGTCGTTTGCAAAGCGACGTAGATGGAAACAAATTGCCGCGGCGTTTTTCGCGGTCTCGGAGATGCAGGAGCGAGCCGACGTTAAAAAAGATACCTTTGAACTACGAGTGTCAGCAAGAGCCACGTAAATACCTGCTCACACTCGGAGCGGACGCGCGCGTTTGGTGGAAGTGCTGTATTCGCGCTGTTGGTAAGCGCTTCGGGAGCGATCTTTTACGATTGCAACTCGATACTGACGCGACACTCGGCAAAGAAAGGTTGGACCGGTATTGCACGTATACCTCCCACGAACTGTTACAGCTCGACAGTGACGTGCAGTCTGTCAAAATAAAAATGGCATACCAATAACAAAGTGTACATACCGTGTTACGAAGGTAATCCATACAGCGTTTATTTCAGCTCTATATCACACACAACAAGAAGAGAGAATCGACGAGGGTCCCTTTTCGACGAGTGTTCGTCAACACTGCCTCGGAAAACAAGGGGAAAAGATTGACCTCACCTCTTAACCTAAAATTGAGGTCAGCGATCAAACTATAATACGGGAAGGGCCACAAGGGTAGCGCGGGCATATTCCATTCAGCACGCCAGCCGGTCGTAGGCAGACAGACGGTCTTGCGACGAAGCAACGCTGCGCCGAGTCGGAGTGCCTGCTAGGCCTATATTCTGAGAGCTTCGTCGGAGCGGGATTCACGGCTGTTGTCGCTCTTCTCGGGTGTTTGTGGATCCAGCGTTCTTGTTCGTCGTGGTCTGTTTTAAGTACATTTTTTTCTTGCTGCTTGAAGTCGGCACGCGCGAGATGAACACGTAGAGAAATAAACGTTCAGTCAGTCAGAGTTTTGAGGAAGGAAACCAAAGGAAATAACCGTTCTGAAGTCGGCCCTGCCCTACTGCGCACGCGCAGTTGTTGCTTCGTTTACCACACGATAGATGGCGCTTGGCTCTCAGCATTATCAAATTTGGCAATTTTCACCACACATCTCTAATTATACTACAAACTGTGGATCTGAATATTATTTAACAAAGCTTTTAGGAAACATTCGCCGGCTATTTATTGTTTACGATCGTGGTGCTGGTGAGGTAGGCTCTTACCCAATAGGCGACGTGGATTCGGCTGACGTGCTCCGTTTCTGCGGATGCATCGTAATGAAAAGGCAGAGCTTTCGAAGGAAAGAAGTCGCAAAAGAGTCCAGTTTTCTTTTAAAAGTTCTATAGCAAATAATTTTTTTGGCTCCCTAGTTTTGTGTTTTTGTGTTTCTTTTCACACCTTTTACGACGTGCGGTGGATGAAATTCAATTTTAAAATCATTTCATGGTCCCTTTATGCTCAAGTTCCACTTTCTTCAGCTCTAGCTCCTGAGTTCGCTTTTCTCTCTCCCTCTCGTGTTCTCGTTCTCGTTCCTCTCTCTCGCAGCTCTCCCTCTCTCTGAGTGTTTGCAAACACTCCATCAGCTCCTCATCGTTAATCTCTGCGTCCCGAATGAGCTTGATGATATGTGGCTTTCGTCTGGCTTGTCCCAAATCGATTCCCAATTCGGTACAAACCTGCACCAGTTGTGGCACACGCAACGTCTCGAGATTCATGACCCTCTCTGTGTATCGGCACCCTTTTAGAACTCAGGAAAGCTCGCGTCCAACGGAAACACACTCGTTTAGACCGATACAATTTCCCCCAAACCCTAACAACAAATCTAATGGCTGTCAGGTCTGGCGGATCCAAGAAAGAGGGCCGGGCACTCACCCACACCGAGAGTCATGGTCTGGCGAAGTCGATCCGGCGTAGTCGAATTCCACGAAGTCGAGTCCCACGTAGTCGTATCCCACCGCTGCCAACCAGTTGTTGTGATTGAGGGTTCCGACGAAGGCTCCCAGCCCGGCGACACTACCTTGTGCCGGGTAGGAGACAGGATCGAGGAGCCGGGAGGCGACGAGCTCAGCAGAACAGAACACTCTATATTTACATTAATTACAATATCGTTTCAGTGTTCGTACCACTCCAACTAAACGGGCGTCCTTTCTTTATATATCCGCCTCGCCATCTCGCCGTCCACTGGCTTGTCCAATCGCAGGGGCCTACGTGGTCCTCGGCAGCCAATGCGCAAGAAGTTCGTGTGCCAGCGGCCAGCCAACGCGGAAGAAGTTCGTGTGCCAACGGCCAGCCAATGCCGAATAAGTTCGTGGCGGGTCTCTCGGCGTGGTGGCTCACTCGCTGAAGAGTCATCCACACGTACACGCAGGCACCCAGCTTGTACAAAGGTTGCCTCGAGAGCCGAGTTCTCCAAAGCTCCCGCACGAGCCGCCGGTCGGTGCGAGAGCCTGCTTTGGTCCACGTGAGCCAGGGCACGCGCCGCTCTCGTAAACGTGGTACGGGTGTGTCGTAGCCTTTCACAATAGGGCCTATGCCATGTATTGAACTGCGTCTTGCCAATTAAAAACTGGAGTCTTTCCTTGGGGAAAAATGATTATGTTTGATGTTCAGACACGAAATGCGAAAAACGATGTGCCACTTTGAAGCAATTTCGTCTAGGGATTTGACGAAATTTGTGTCGAGCCTGATATTCGACATGTTTCGGCGAGCCTTTGATTGTTCGGCAAAGTGCGACGATGAATAGATAGATGGATGTTAATGGCTGTAATCTTCATAGCGGTAAATATCTTTCCCCAACTGGTCTAGGATGATCGCCACCTAGCCTGCCTACGAACTTCGACATATGGGCAGAGTTGCCCGACTGCTACGCAAAAATTTCGATTTTCGTGAAACAAATATAATTGTTATAGTACCTTCTTTTTTATATTCTAAACGAATTTCCAGTGTTTGCACAGTATAAAATTAAACATGTACATTCAATGCTTCGGTCAGGTTATTAAGGCGAAGCAATTAAAGGGACCATGAAATGACTTTTTTACTTTTTCCAGATAACTTTGACATTAAACCGTCAATGTTCACTGAATGCCGAACAGGCATCCGTTTTCGTCTCGGTTTATTATTAGCATCTTCGATCAACTCGCACCGGAATCGCCCTGAAACCAGCACAGTGCACAGCGCTCCTCGGTCGTGCAGCGCGATGTCGGTGCAACATCGAGGACAAACTGCGCCGCGCCGGTGCACCGCGGCGAGCTCCACCTTGCGTCACTTCGCGTTTTGTTCGTTTTTTCTTGCGTAGGTCAGCGCACGATGCGCGTCTGCTGTCAATTTCTTTTATTTCTTTACTCGCGGATTTGACGGTCCCACAGAAATAAACATCGTGGACGTGATTGTCGATGGGTTCACGAAGCGGGTGACAATTCCACATGTATATGTTGGCCATCATTATTGGTTCAAGAAAACGAAACGCCAGATAATACGGATAATACCGTACCTCGCTGTCATCGAAACGCCTCGCGCCGCTTTCCACGAAGTTCGTGCTTTTCGGGCGCTCCTTGCCACCGCAGCAATCGCCAGTAATCGCGGCGATGGTGAGAAGCTCGTCGTCTCGCCGTCAGAAGACCCGAGGAAATCATCTAGTGCAGCTGCAAGGCGTGTTCGTTTTTGCAAGATCGCCATCTCGATAGTCTGCGCGTCTGCTACTCCCGCCATCTTCTCGATTCCCGCTCCCGGCCGCAATGCCTGATGGGACTGCACCCCGGCGCACCGCCGATTTTCTTGGTGCACGTTGGGGCAACGAAAAGCCGCACCGGGAGGGTGCGCTTCGTTGATCGAGGACGTACGGTGCGCACCGGTGCACTTGATCGAAGATGAAGGGGCGCACCTCAGTGCCCCGGTGCGCACCGGTGCGGATGATCGAGGATGCTATAACTTCTACGCAAAAAATTAACGAAATATCGACTTTTTCTTGACCGCAAAAGAAGCCGTGACGTACGCTGCTTCCGGAACCGGAAGTTCTCTCGGCGGTAGGAGATGGGAGCGTTAGCGGCGACGAGTTGGGGTGCGCCGGTAGGTTTTACTGCGCCGATGTCACCGACGTATTTTCTGAATCGGCGCCTCTCATCGCCGCATCGCAGCTGAGCGAAATTCAATGAGATGCGTTGCGCTACAGCGACAGCATGGGACTAGTCCCATACACCGGTATGCCTGTTGGGAAGTGCAGCGAGTCTTCCGGTGAAGACTTCAGAAGTCAACCCAACTGTCATTGTTGGTAAAAGGCGGCCAGTGTCAGTCGTTTGCAAAGCGACGTAGATGGAAACAAATTGCCGCGGCGTTTTTCGCGGTCTCGGAGATGCAGGAGCGAGCCGACGTTAAAAAAGATACGTTTGAACTACGAGTGTCAGCAAGAGCCACGTAAATACCTGTTCACACTCGGAGCGGACGCGCGCGTTTGATGGAAGTGCTGTATTCGCGCTGTTGGTAAGCGCTTCGGGACCGATCTTTTACGATTGCAACTCGATACTGACGCGACACTCGGCAAAGAAAGGTTGGACCGGTATTGCACGTATACCTCCCACGAACTGTTACAGCTCGACAGTGACGTGCAGTCTGTCAGAATAAAAATGGCATACCAATAACAAAGAGTACATACCGTGTTACGAAGGTAATCCATACAGCGTTTATTTCAGCTCTATATCACACAAAACAAGAAGAGAGAATCGACGAGGGTCTCTTTTCGACGAGTGTTCATCAACACTGCCTCGGAAAACAAGGGGAAGAGATTGACCTCACCTCTTAATCTAAAATTGAGGTCAGCGATCAAACTATAATACGGGAAGGGTCCACAAGGGTAGCACGGGCATATTCCATTCAGCACGCCAGCCGGTCGTAAGCAGGCAGACGGTCTTGCGACGAAGCAACGCTGCGCCGAGTCGGAGTGCCTGCTAGGCCTATATTCGGATAGCTTCGTCGGAGCGGGATTCGCGGCCGTTGTCGCTCTTCTCGGGTGTTTGTGGATCCAGCGTTCTTGTTCGTCGTGGTCTGTTTTAAGTACATTTTTTTTCTTGCTGCTTGAAGTCGGCACGCGCGAGATGAACACATAGAAAAATAAACGTTCAGTCAGTCAGAGTTTTGAGAGGAAGGAAACCAAAGGAAATAACCGTTCTAAGTCGGCCCTGCCCTACTGCGCACGCGCAGTAGTTGCTTCGTTTACCACACGATAGATGGCGCTTGGCTCTCAGCATTATCAAATTTGGCAATTTTCGCCACACATCTCTAATTATGCTACAAAATGTGGATCTGAATATTATTTAACAAAACTTTTAGGAAACATTCGCCGGCTATTTATTGTTTCCGATCGCGGTGCTGGTGAGGTAGGCTCTTACCCAATAGGCGACCTGGATTTGGCTGACGTGCTCCATTTCCGCGCATGCATCGTAGTGAACAGGCGAAGGAAGGAAGGCGCAAAAGAGTCCAGTTTTCTTTTAAAAGTTCTATAGCAAATAGTTCTTTTTGGCTCCCTAGTTTTGTGTTTTTGTGTTTCTTTTCACACCTTTTACGACGTGCGGTGGATGAAATTCGATTTTAAAATCATTTCATGGTCCCTTTAAACATTACGCTGCACAAACACTGCGCCCTTTTCTTTGCCACCAGGAGACATCAGCTCATTTCCATTTTTCGCACAAGCGCTCAAAGGTCGAACTTCCGTCGAACTTTCAATCAACTTTGCAATAGAAGTTCGTAAAAGTCGAATTTTCAGCGAGCTCGAACCTCGGAAGTTTTGCACCATCCGCAGTCACGCCTACTTCCACACAGTAAAAGTGTTTACACCTTTAAGGGTGTAAATCAGTTTGTCCCAGGGCTAACACCCTTAGGGTGTTCAGGCAAGCACCCTTTATAGTGGGTGCTTGCCCAGCACCCTTGGCAAAGGGTGCTTGGCATGGAATGGGCACCCGCTGTGGTGGCCCAGTGGATGCTGGGCCTCCCCAGCCAATCCAGCGCCGGAGAGTATCACGCGACATTTTAGTTGTTCAAGGTAAGATGATGCTCTCTTAACACTGGATTGGCTACTATAGCTGGTAGCGTCCGCCATGCTCGGACGAAAGGTGAAATGAAGTGCAAGCCCCAGTAAAAATTTTATAGGAATGTGTCCGTTACACATATCAGAACTTGTAACTTGTAGAAAAATCATAAAAGGTATTACATATTCTTATATTATTGTTATATGATTTACGGTATATGTTTACTGAACACATTTACACTTTTTTCACTTAGGGGGATTGCAACTTTACCGCATACGAGGCACGTGATAAAGGAATAATGAGTCACACTGAACACAACTCACTTCACGAAGAAGTATTACAAAAGAGCTCCTTGCAAGCCACGTGATAACCCCGAGGGCAACTGGGCAGTGAGTAAGTGAGCAAGCAGTGGCCCCAAACATCGTACTGCACGGCCGAACCACTGTAAACAATATGGGCTGCCACAAACGAAGCATGTGGAGCTTTCCTGGTTGGATAACACGTGGCATGTTTTGCTTCTCTTGGGGCCGGTTGCACCAACGCCGCTTACCTTAACCCAAAGCGGCACTTTCCTAAGCCGGCTTAGCGCCCTAAACCGAGCTTAGGTAAGCACGGGTTTAAATTCCGGTTGCACCAACGTTAAGCCGGCTTTACAGACGCGCCCCTAGCTAAACGCTGGATTTGCGTAGGGAATCTAGGGACAAACAGAGCAAACTAGGGAACGCTCAGAGCGACGAATACGATTGGCGGAGAGGAATCACGTGATGTAAACAAACAAAAAAACAAAAAAAAAAAAAAAAACTGCCGTAGTAGTTGTCGTCGGCGTCTGCTTTTCGCTGTATTTCTTCGGTGAGTAACAAATTAAAGGTCT